TACGTATTTTTTCAGTTATATTGGAGGAAATGAATCCGAAGGTCACTTTTCGTTGATCAACGAGGCATGTTCAATGTTAGTAAGACGCATGATGCTTCTCTGTTAGTGTTGTCCATAAATTAAATTAAATAGTGTGGTTATATATATATGTAGATTTATAAAGTTATACATTTTAGGTTTGCACATACGAACCCGTTACATCTAGATGTATTCAAGAGTGTTGTGAGATTTGAGGCAGAAGTGGTGGCTATGACGGCTGCTCTTCTTGGAAGTAAAGAGAAGGCATCTGGAGGCCAAATATGTGGCAACATGACTTCAGGAGGAACAGAGAGTATACTGTTAGCTGTCAAATCATCACGTGACTACATGAAGGCCAACAAGAATATCACATGTCCAGAGATGTGAGTTTCATCTTTTAGTCTCTCTTTGACTTAATAAGACAAAAATAGGTTTTACTGTATTTACTGGGATTCATACTGATGTCAATCGGATAAAAACTGACATAAGTCAGTAATCCAGTACAATCTGTCATGTCATGTCATATACTGTACTGGATATTAATTTAGGCTAATGAATATTTACATAAGTGATATTGTCTTTTGAGAATGTAGGATAATACCTGAATCTGCACACTCGGCTTACGACAAAGCTGCCCAATATTTCAAAATTAAGTTGTGGCGTGTTCCTGTGAATAAGGAATTTCAAGCAGATGTCAAAGCTATCAAGAAATACATCAACAAAAACACCATATTGGTATGTTACAACTGGCCTACTGATTGTAATTAATGTTTTTTTGTTTTTTCATCAGTTTGAATTGCTCAAATTTGTTTCACAAAACAGATTGTTGGGTCAGCACCTGGTTTTCCTCATGGAATCATCGACCCAATCGAGGTATAACCTAGCAAAGTCTTTCGATTCTTCAACTTTTCTATAAATTCTACTTTCTTAAACATTTGAAATACTTGAGAGTTATATACACATAGACACAAAGCTGAGATACAAGAAAATACTTGAGTCAAACATACAACCGATGTTTTTATTGCAATATATACTAACCATATTGCTTGGGGAAATAAAATCCAAACCAATGACTACATTTCAACTGTTTGTCCAAAAGTGATGTTTCACAATTACAATTTAGGGTTTGTATTGCAGGAGCTTGGTGAATTGGCATTGAGTTACAGGATCTGTCTGCATGTAGACCTTTGTCTTGGTGGTTTTGTGCTGCCTTTTGCACGTAAACTTGGGTACATACACTTGGTTTTTGTTTCCTTTCACTGCTGTTGTTAGCTGTATTCTTATGGCATTATGCCAAATCTAATAAATTGTATAATATATATTATTGCAGGTATCCGATTCCACCATTTGATTTTTCTGTCCAAGGAGTAACTTCTATATCAGCAGATGTGCATAAATATGGGTTGGCACCCAAAGGAACAAGTATAGTTTTATACAGAAACCATGAAATTCGCAAGGTAACTAGTCGAGTATTTGTATGTTTTTGTTTATTTATTTATTTGATGGCTGGAAATTGACCAACTTTTCATCCTTGTGTCTTAAACAGCACCAATTTGTTGCTGGTAAGTCTCTTTGAAATACATGTTACATCTTGCTGACATGGCATGAAAAGGATGACATGGCATGATCATGATGTGCATATTGTATTGTTACAGTTACAGAATGGTCTGGTGGTCTGTATGTATCTCCGACAATTGCTGGTAGCAGACCTGGAAGTTTAATTGCAGGGGCTTGGGCAGCTATGCTTTCTTTAGGGCAAGAAGGTGCTTACTTTCAACTTTTATCTTACACGACTTTTTATTGTAAAAAATAAAACTCACTGATTAATTTGTTGGTTTTTTGAAGGTTACCTGGAGCACACAAGAGAGATAATGGAAGCATCAAAGAGGCTACAAAACGGGTATTTTGTTAGTTCAAAACTAGAATCTTTAATAATTCCAAAGCCTATCAAAATCAAAATCAAAATCAAAATCAAAATCACATGTGTTTTGGTTGTTTTTGTAGAGTAAAAGAGATCCCTGAGTTATTTATGATTGGAAGGCCAGATATGACAATTGTGGCTTTTGGGTCTAATGTGATAGACATATTTGAAGTGAACGACTTGCTTTCCTCAAAAGGCTGGCATCTGAATCCCTTGCAGAGACCCAACAGGTAAACAAACTATAACAGTTATATACGACATGCTTATTTTTGCTTTATTAAGTATATAATAACATTTTGAAAGTATTCATCATTTTTCAGTATTCATATCTGTGTGACCCTTCAACATGTTCCTATTGTTGACAACTTCCTGAAAGATTTAAAGGATTCAGTGCAGATTGTAAGCAAGAAACCGGGTTTTTATATATCATCATTGGAATATCTTGTTTGGATTTTAACAAGAAGTTGTTTGTTTTTCTTTTTAGGTAAAACAAAATCCGGGGCCTATTAGTGGAGGGCTTGCACCAATATATGGAGCAGCCGGGAAGATCCCAGATAGAGGTATGGTTAATGAGTTATTGGTTGACTACATGGACAATGCATGTTGATATGAATGACTTTGGGGTATTTGGACTCCCATGCATGTATTTTGGTTTGGTTGTTTGCATTCAATTGCCATCATTCTTTGTAAAAGCTTTCCAAGGAAAGGAAATTGTATGTGTGTGTGTTTGATGATATGTAAACTGTTATATACGAACAAGTAGAACATTAGCACATGAAGAATCATCTTTATTTTATCCAATCTTGCATGTTTATGCAATAGGATTATTATTCCAGCAACCAATGGTCACAATGTGTGCTGCAAGTACAGTGGAATCGTGTAAGATGTAAATCGGATATATAGCAGTCTCATATTGGGGTTGTGTGCGAGTAGAATTTGTTAATAAAAGCTCTTTAATTGATTTATTATTATTATTTTTTTTGTCAAATATACGAAAAGTCAAAAGTAGTTAAAAGACTGGCGTGAGTTTTTCATAGGGATGAAAATGGGGTGGGTTTGGGGCGGGGTTGACCATTCCTGTCCCCATCCCCAAGTGTCTAACCTCGTTCCCATCCTCATCCCCATTCCCGACGGATGTGGAGAATCAAATCCCCTTCCCTTTGTATTTTGGTTTTTTCCCCAACCCATTCCCGACCAATCCCCAATCTATCTACATAATAAACTCAACTTACAAAAAAAAAGCAAGGTTAATAAGTGATCAAAACTAGATGCCATAATCAGATTTTGTTTACATCAATCTTAAAGTTTTAATAAGCATCAAAACGAAAAGTGACGATTTGGTATACAGATCATCGAACGAAGTGACGATTGACGAACTCTTGGAATTGGGAACATAATTTCATATATGGATTCTATTTTTGATGGTCTAATATAGATCAATTCATTTTAGTAGACTTAATTCAAATTTAATGAATAATCGATATATATATATATATATATATATATATATATATATATATATATATATATATATATTATATATATATATATATATATATATATATATATATATATATATATATATAGAGTTAGGTTCATGTGAGACGGCTTAATTTTGTGAGATTGTGAGACGTATTTTTTTAAAAATTTTTTTAGTTAATTCAAGTTCCCAAAATAATATTTAAAAAAAGAATTTTTTGATTTTTACATTTATTTTGCATTTTAAAATTATTTTTAGAATATGTACAGTGAAATATTCTATTTAGAATATTTCACGTATTTTTAAAAAAAATAGGATTTTTTTTAAAATTTTTTTTTAGTTAATTCAAGTTTCGAAAATAATATTTAAAAAAGAATTTTTAGATTTTTGCATTTATTTTGCATTTTAAAATTATTTTTTAGAATATGTCAGTGTAATATTCTATTTACAATATTTCACGTATTTTTCAAAAAATAAAACGAGATTTTTTTTTTTATTTTTTTTAGTTAATTCAAGTTCCGAAAATAATATTTAAAAAAAGAATTTTTGGATTTTTTCATTTATTTTGCATTTTAAAATTATTTTTAGATTTGGTCTAACGGTTTCACAAAATTAGTATGGTGTCAAATGAACGGGAAACTATATATATATATATATATATATATATATATATATATATATATATATATATATATATATATATATATATATTATATATATATAATATATATATATATATATATAGTCACCAAAGCGGGGGCGGGGCGGGTTGAGGATTGTTATACCCGACCCTGACCCCATCCCCGGTTTTAGCATAATGGGGATCCCCGGCCCCGTTACCTTTACCTGTTTTAACGGGGAATACCCGTCCTCGATTGGGGCGGATCAACCGGGTTCCCCACCGGATCGAGTAAAATTTTCATCCCTAGTTTTTGTTTCCGAAACTTTTCACAAGTCAATGGATAGTATTTTAGGGCAAATTATAAAAATGGTTCCTATGGTTTACAAGATATTTCAAGTTTGGTCTAATTTTTAAATCTTGAGTTTGGTTTTCATTGATGATTAAGTCCTTCCAACTAACATCATTAAGGTGTTTGTTTTTAAGAGGTAAAAGACATTTGTAGAAGAAACGACGAACATTTAATAATTAGGACAAAATCATTTATATAAGGTTGTGGTTTCCTTTTTAAGCTTGGCTAGCTATTTCCTTACAACTCTAGCTTTATGCAAGATAACAATCATACAACACTTATAATAAGTAAAATAGTTCAAACCGAAAAACATCATATGAAATTAAAAAAATCATGTCAGCTATCATCAAAAAGCTCAAATTACAAGTAGCAATCTATTCAGTTTTCTAGCCTCACAAAATGCAAATTGAAAAACAAAAAAATCATGTCAACACACATGAATGTTCAAATAGACATATGATTTCATTGATTTTTTTTTTTAATGAAAATACTGCTATATTTGCAATCCAAATGGCAATCTGAACCAATCTAAACCATCAGAAAATAAAAAAGATAGTTATTAACATAATCATACAACATAATAAAAAATATTGGGCCAATGAAGTTGTAAGGTTGTTTGGCCAATGTGGTTTAGAGGTGACAATCGTGTTGTATTGGGTCGGGTCGAAACACTAAACGGGTTGAAAGTGCTTGACCCTAACCCGACCCATTTAATTAACGTGTTGTGTTGTGTCAAACAGTTTATTTTCGTGTCGAGTTTGTGTTGGGTTTTGGGTTAGAGTTATACCTTGAAATATGTCGTGTCATGTGAGGTTAAAAGATTGAATATGTTGAAAGAGTAGAAGTTGGATAGACGGAAAGGAAAAACCAATAGTTTAGAGGTAGAATATATAAAATCATAGCAAGTTCAGATGACAAAATTAAAAGAGTGACAGTTGGGGAGGTGGATGATAAGGTCATAAGGATGTGAGAGTGGTGAAAGAGACTGGGTAGTTTGGAAGAGAATGGAAAAACTGAAATGAAGTCTTGATCTAGACGGATAAGTCATTTCAACATTACAAAACAATTCAATTGGAAGGTTTTCTTTTACTTATGGTTTTGGTTTTGTATCTTCCTAGTTTATTTAAATAATTTAAAAAACTTGCATATAAATAAACGGGCTATTTTCGAGTCATATTCGAGTTGAAATTCTCAACCCTAACCTTACCTATTTAATTTTCGTGGCGTGTTGTATCAACCTATTTATTTAAACAGGTTAAAATATCTTACCCAAACCCGTTTATTTCGTGTCGGGTTTCGTGTCGTGTCAAGTTTTGCCACCTCTAATGTGGTTGCGATTCGAACTTCCAACCTACTTATTATCTAGTTAGTGAACCATAATGTTTTTTTTCTTCAGTTTTTCATTTTTACAATTTCTATAGGGAAATCTGCAATAAAGTCTTTATATATTGGTCTCTTAATCGATTTAATCTTTATATCTTTTTTCTTATTCAATTAAGACCCAAAAACCGATAATCTACTTCAATTTAATCATTTTACCCGGTCAACAGGTAATCTAACTTTCAAAAATTACATTTTTGGTCCAGATTGTAAAATTTATTACAAATTTGGTCTAAAATTTACACTTTTGGCCTATATTTTAAATTTTATTACAAGTTTTGGTCCAAAATTTACCGTTTTCGTCCAAATTTTAGAATTTTGTTATGAATTCATCATAACTTTAGTTTTTTGATAACTTTCTTTTCACAAAATTTGTTACAAATATGTTTTTGCTTTATAAAATCATATTATACAAAAAAATCATATAAAAAACTTTTTTTTCTATATAAAAAAAGTATTTTAAAAACTTTTTTTTTGTATACGAAATATCTATTTATAAAAAATAGGTATTTATTAAGTACATAAATATATACAAATCCATTTTTATAATTTTTTTATACAAACACGTATTTTACAAAAAAAAAAAAGTATACAAACGAATTTATTATAAAATAGGTGTTTATAATATAATATATATATATATATATATATATATATATATATATATGTGTGTGTGTGTGTGTGTGTGTGTGTGTGTGTGCGTGCGTGTACGTTTTTACAAAATCAATGTATATAAACACTCATTTAGGTGCAAGATCTAAAAATTAGGGTTTCATAATTGCTCACGTACGCCTAACATATGTGGATGAGCTCCGCGATCATAAACAAGCTAGTACGTTAAGCATATCGCCCAGTTCCCCCACGTACTAGCTTAAGGAGCAATTTTGAAAACTCTTTAGAATAGAGATTAAATATGAAACTTACCAAATTCAAGTGATACATATTTCGTATACATAAAAGGTTTTTTTTTTTTTTTTTTTATTTTTTTATTTTTTAATTTTTTTTTAAGTTTCTATATAGAATTATAAGATTTTTATGTGAAAATATGTTTTTTTTTAATATAAATATGATTTTATAAAGAAAAAACAATTTCGAAACAAAATTTTGAGAAAAAAAAGTTGTACAAAAACTAAAGTTATGATGAATTCACAAAAAATTCTAAAATTTCGGCAAAAAAGGGTATGTTTTGGACCAAATTGAATTATGAGTATTGATTTGGCATGCGGAATTGTAAGAACATGATGATTTTGGTGCTAAAATGTAACACTCGACTCTCAGGTATAAACTTTACAGTTATATATTTTCATTTTGAAAGGTCGACTCGACGAGTTGGATGCCCTGACTCGTCGAGTAGGAACTGATTTGGCCGTATAACTTAAGTAACCAACTTGACGTGTCGGAGGACACGACTCGACGAGTTGGATCTGGCGGATGAAACCCTAATTTCCAGGGTCTAGCACCTTATTTAAAGGATCATTAGCCTCCCTCGGCCTCCCCTCACTGTCCCCTTGAGCTCTGAAACCGTAATTCACATGCGCTCTCCATTTTGTGTGATTTTCAAGCTTGGAAGGTGATTTGGAAGAAGAATGCTTGAAGTATAAGAGGATTGGAGCATAGAGGAGCTGGTGAATCTGACTCTTCTGCTTATTGTTATCATTTTGAAGGTAACAAGTTGTTACCTTGACTTTCCTCCTTTTAGATGTCTTCATTTTTATGATTAGGGCTTTTCTAGCATGTATGTTAACCATTCTCTGGTATGGGTTAGGATTTGAAGTTGCAACTTCAGATCTGAACTTATCTTGGTCTCTATAGCTATAAAGTCTCCAGCTTTAGCAAGTATGAACCTTCCCTTTTGAGTTAAACCCCATTATAAGCTTGGATTTGGTATTCTAAGCCTTTAGAGCCTTGCATCCACGTAAAGTTTGCAACTTTATGTGATAAATATGCATTGGGAAGCTTGATCTACAATATGAAGCTTAGGGATGGCTTAAAAATCATCTGAATGGAGGAAGGACTGAAGGGACTCGACGAGTTGAATGTTCAACTCGGCGAGTCCGAT